CTCTCTCTCTCTCTCTCTCTCTCTCTCTCTCTCTCTCTCTCTCTCTTTGTGTGCGTTTTCTCTTATTTTCTCTTTATTTTGATTTAATTTCCAAAATGAGACCTAAATTGTGGACAAAATTAACGTTAATATAATATAAAATAGGTTTCGGACACTGAGTGCCCGCAAACCAGTACAAGAAAGTCAAACGATTGCATTCACTGAACACTTGTCAGTGTTTCAAACATCTCCAGTGTTTGAGTGAGAGAACACATCTCTCACTGCAAAACTGGTTCCTTTGTTCGCACCGTCACTGCAGGCAAACACACGACACACTTCTCCGCACAAATGAGTCATACATTCCTGAGTGGCGACCAATGAGAGAGGAGGGGAGGGCTCGGGTGCGGTCACACGCATGCGCTGTATAGCGGGAAGTGGTTGTTGTTCTCAGAAAGTGAGTCAATCGCCATTTTGACTCTCATTGAGTCCCAGATTTGCCAACTATTCGGTTGCCCACTATTTGGTCGTTATCTCAACGTTTTGGTAAGTTTTCTCGAAAATTCTTTTGATTAAAACCATCTACACTTAATTTACAATAAAATTGAGCATGGTCATTTTTCAACTTGGTTTTTGTCCTTTTTCTCGCAATTAAATGCATATATTTTTAGTGTAATTGAATGAGTAATTAATTAGTGATTGTATCAATCATTTAATTAGGAATGCATTGATAATTAGTATATATTTAAGATTTAAGACAAGAACATCAAACGCTCGCCATTTCAAGCATTTCCATCATTTAATTGTGTAATTCAATGGTTAATATTTAGCCCGAGTTATAGTAGACTTCCTTTGAAGCGATCCTCAAATTGAGTCCGATTTGTTTGGAGTGAATTCTTTTGAGGATAACTTCGTTGAGTCCTATATAGAAACGATGCGTTCATTCATACCTGTCTTTAATGACTGCATTCATAATATGATTGCATTTTCCAATATATTTTCCTCTGCCTTAACGTATAGTTCAATAGCATAGACTCGTACTAAGGTTCGTAACACAATTGATATGAGACAACTTTCTACGAGTTTGGTCATGTACAACACTTATGTATGTTTGAGCCGTGAATAGAGGCCATACACCGTACTCTTCAGACCAACACTCTTAGCAGTCATAGACATGAATGTATTTTCACTTTTTTCACTCAAACTTTTTTCATTTCAGTAAAACTATGTTTAATTACGATTTAATAGCAAATTAAACAATTTTATTCCCAATCGATTTCAAAACATTTTTATCGTATTTAGAAAAGTTTTAGTTTAGTATATATGAATGCATTGAATGCATGTGCAATAGTATAGCCTATACAGTACAGTCGAGTACAGTATTATATGTAGCAATGGTTGGGCTTTAGCGGCCACTTGTGCTTCTGTGGGCATATTCTGTGGCCTTAAAAACTACATTCAATACAGTATACATTGAGACGACATATCAAATTCATTCACTATTATAACACATGAGTTCGGCTTTTATTAAATTTAATGTTATGTTTAATTAATTTTTCCCATTTTTCATATCAATAACTAAAATGCGATAAAAATTTGATTAATTGACGAACAATTTTTCGTCACATTTATTCCCAATAAATGTATAGAAATTAAAATAAATAAATTTAATTGATTTTAAATGCTTTGGTAATGGATTAAGAGTAGGGAAAGCAAAGCGGGTCTCAGAGCGGGTGATAGGACTGAATGAATAGTTACGTCAGAGTTGTCGTCGTCTTCGTCCTCTTCTTCTTCCGTTCTTCGGATTCAAAGAGTTCTGCCATTAGATTGAGTTTCGGTGACGACGACGACGACGACTGAGAGCAACACTTAATGTTTGAATTGTTGGTACTTTTGATACAATTATTGGACAATTATTATACAATACATTCAATAATTGCTGCAATTGTTGGGCCGATAGGTTGTGATTGTGGAGCACCTGATGGTTGTGTTGCTGTAGTTGTGTGGATGTGGTTGTGGTGGTAGTGGTGGCCGATATGGGAAGCATTGAGTAATGTCTGGCATGGGTTGGGCAGCACTGGTCTTGTGTATAATACAGTGTATAATATAGGGAATAGTTGTTACTCTATTTACGGTACATAAGAAAAACAAGTTTTCGACATTTTTTCATTTGTATACATTTCACTGCTCTCTCCGTTCACTCATACATCTGATACTCTTTAATGACATTAATGTCCACTCAATTAGAATTTATTGATTTTATGAGAAAATTATTGTTTTTAGGATAAAAAGAGTTGAAGAAAATGAAAAAGATGAGCGATATTTGGGACGTGTTTGACAGTCAACTCCAGAAAGAGTCCGAAGACCTGTCCATCGATGACAACCAGTCCAATGAAGTGCCCATTAATGACAATTTGGGTCTTCATTTCAATGGCGGCATTGACGACATGGCCATCGAAGACATGGACATCGAAGATATGGATAATTTACTTGAATTCATTGATGATAATACAGCCAATCAGGCAAATTATGGACTTCCACTCAGTGTTAATGATATCTTTGATAACATTATGGGAGATACATATGCTGTCACAGAAAGCACCGAACAAGTCGTCCATATTATGGAAGAAGTAGAAGAAGTGGTAGAAGTGGTCACCTCTTCATCCAATGAGTCGGACATTCCAAGTATGGATTCATTATTATGTTTATATTCATTTGGATTTGATATCAGAATCCAATTACCCTTACATTCAATTCAATGGCTATATGTATAATGTATTGGCATTTTTGGCACTAATATTCTTATAGTGGACATCAAAATAGTGAAGAATATTTACCACTTTTAGAAAAATTATTAAAAAGTTTTTACAGTTAGTGATAGAATGCATAGTTAAGTGAAAACATAGCACCAATTGTTTTAATAATAATATAAATGTTATGATAATATGTTGATCAGTGATTGTCTGACCGATGGTGTAATGCTTTCGAGACATTAATCTCTGTAAGAGATGTCCGACGGCTTGCTTTCGGTATTCATATCGCTGTTTGAGATATAATTTTGAAAATGATTTATTAAAAATGGATTAGACTTTCAATTGAATGAGATTTAATAGATTGAGAAATAATTAAAGGAATTGATAGCCATTTGAATGAATGAATAAATAAATTTGTTTAATAGACACTCAGATAAAGCCCACAAAGAGAGGAAGGGGTCGACCGAAGAGTAAACTCTCCAAAGAGGAGAAAATAAAGTTGACTCGAGAGAGGAATAAGGAATCGGCCAAAAGATATCGGCAGAGAAAAAGGGAGGAAAGAGCCGACAAAAATGAAGTGTAGGTTTAGTTGAGGTCCTGTTGTGGACAGCATTTGATTGACATTCCAAACAATTTAATCAATATTTTTAATGACTGTTTAGTTCACAAAAACGAAAACACTTTAAATTGACTAAAACTGCGAACAATTTGACGAAACAAATCCATTCAGTGACACAAAGACTGGCCAACAATAATATTCACATCAAAATACATACTTTGACTGCACAACAGTTGAATACCATTAGAAGTTTCATTCAAAAGAAGTAAACAATTAATATTGTGGTAATAATTGGCAAATCATTCATTTTTCTTCAACCATATTCCGATGTGTTATTTATGTGCAAAACTATACATTGAATGCAAAAAAGCGCTTAGGTTAATAGAATCTGTCTAACCGTGTTGAACCATAATAATCGTCCATAAATAACGCCATTTATTAAAAATCGTTAAATATAGCATTTTTATGTAACAAAAGTAAATGTTATGTTTAATTTTGTAATTATAATTTCATAAAAATTTCACTTATAATTATCAATGTAAAATTATTAATAAATATTGACTATCAATATTGTACAAATTTTTAAACCTTATTACACATATGTTTATTGTATCAAGTATTTATTTGCATTTTGCAATTCACTTTAATGTCGTAATGTCTTAAATAAAAACATTTAAACTAATATTTAATATATTGCGGTGCATTCATACATTATTATCATGATGGGGGTGTTGACTAATCCAGCATTAGTGTCTTTGAATTGATCAGTGGTTGTTTTATAAAAGCAAATAGTAATACGTGTATTGAGTGTAAGATTTTATTATTTATATAAAAAAACTCAATGGAATTAATTTTTTAATGGCACTAATATATTTAATTAAACCTGATTATATTAATTTTATCAATGATTTTTATGAGACATTTCTTTCAAACAATTGAAATTACAACTGTTAATTTGACCAGAATGAGACCAGTTATAGTTAGGGATTATTTTTTAAGTGACGTTATTTGAATCACCAAGTTATTTGTTGACTTGATTTATGAATAACATGTAAATAGTGTATAAATTACAATACACGAGTTAAAGCTATGGTTAATTTTTGGCCTCATTTAAAATAGACTACTTACCATTTTTCATATCATTACATTGCTTCAGTATGTCTATTTAATCAACTCATAAGTGTATTAAATTTCGCTATCAATCAATCAATCAAACTTTAGTGAATCTCCATCAACAAAATGCTGTTTTATATAGAAATCAGTTATTGCTGATTGTTAATCTGATTGCTAATTGTGTTATAGATATAAAATTGACGATACACCAATTTTAATCCAGTTTTATTTAATAAACACAATTAATCTTGACACCAGAAATCAATAAAGTATAGTAAATTAATTGTTTTATGCTTTTAATTTATAAGCGTAAAAGATTAAGGTGAATGTACTGTAGGCCGAGTATTAATGCAAATGCATATTTTATTGATATCTGTTTGAGTTTAACAAAATTTGCCGTTAGAGACGTTTGGATGTCGACGCAAACGCTCTGAAGCAATGCGGATAAGGCTTTTGATAACTTTAAATGCGTTGACTTTCACGTGAGAGCGTGACTAGATTTGTTAGTCAGTGTCATCTGTTTGACACATTTCTGACATTATAAATCACAGCCCTAGATATTTGCTATATAATTTTTGTTTAATAGAATTAAATATTACTTGGTTATAAGATTAAACGATCAATCCATTTGCTTTAATTAATCAGCAATTTAATTAAAATATAAGCATACTGTTTATTTTGTAATATAATTTTATTTTATATCATGACTTATGATTCATGAGATTGTTATTATATCATTGATCAAATATTAATATAACGATTATGCTAGGATTTTTGAACATTTTCGATTGTTTTTAAAATTATAACTCAAATTATTATAAAATTATTCTATTGCTTATAAAGGTTTATTTAAGAGTTAATTGTAATTCAATATAATGTTTTATTTTAAGCTATGGAGCAAAGCGCTATTTTGCATTCATCTTTCTAGAAATTGCATTCATATTATATTCACAATATTGTACAATGTAACATTGTCACTGTACTGTATACTTAATAGTATTCACTGAATAGTGTATTAAATACACTGTATTTTATAGTGAATAACACTTTATAATTTTGAATGTAATTATTTATTTAATAAAATAAATTGTTATTTAATTGCTTATAGATTGAACCCCAGATGTGTTGGCCAATCATTCCTAACGCTATATATTTGGATACCTTTTATATCATAATTACTTAATTTGTATATAATTTCCTATTTTATCGTTTAAATTATTTTCATTTTAGTATCATTTAAAACATTCACTTCAATAAAAATAAATGTAATTTATTTGTTGTAAACATTATTTAAAATAATTCAATGTTCGGTAAAACTGATAATTGTGTAATGCATTTATAGACACATTTAGATATAATAATCTTCACATTTATTCGTGTAATTAATATTACTTATAAAACAGTTGTAATGAATCTTTGAATTCAAACAATATTTATATGATTTAAATAAAAATATTTTACAAAATGAAATCAAAGTGTGATATCGTTATTGAGATGAGAGAAGTGCCTGTAATTCGTCGAATTCGCGCCGTTTGGAGCCCTCCTGAGCCTTGAGTTCATTGATCTGCGATTGGAAGCGCTGTTTGAGAGCCATGTTCTCGATGTTATCCATTTCCATCTGTTGGTTCAGACGCTGCGACTGAAGGCTTTGTATTTCGGCCTCAATTTCATTCAACTTCTCCCACAACTGATCGTTTTCTGCGCCCCTCTCCAGAGCACTGGTGGCCGCCGTGTCTTCTTCCAGAGCGGCGCCCATCGCGTCCACAGCACTCGACGACTCCATCGCTTCCATGTCGTAGTTGTAATGACTGGCGCTCGACGTCGACGCCATCCCATCGGACGGCATGTCTGACAGCATTCCTTTGGAAAACTCAGTCACGTATTTGTCGGGAGAACTCCTGTCCTTCATTAGGGCGTCTCTAATGCTCGAAGACATACGACTGTCGTCACCAGAATCGGGGACTCGAGTGTCGTCTTCGTCACTACTGCTGACCACATCGCCGAAGATGTCGTGTTCCGCGACATCAAAGCCGGCGCCACCGCTGTTGCCGCCGGTGTTGGCCGACGGCGAGAGAGCGCCACTAGATTTGGCCAAATCTGCTTTGAGTTCTTCGTCGGCGTTCACCACTTCGTAGCGAACACTCTTCGCCTCGTTATCCGTACGGAACAAACGCTTCACCTCTTTCTCGATCTCCGGAAAGTCCACGTATTTCTTCTTCAGTGTCTTTCGGAACCGCTTTTTGCGCACATTCTTCAGGGGAGGAGTGATTCCGTGCGGGTATAAGAACTTCTTGTCCTTTCCGTCTTTGTTGCGACGGCTGTTGTGATCGTCGGCCGTGTCGTCGGTCTTGAGTGCAGCGGCGGTCGAGTCGTCGGTGTCTTCGCGACAGACCATCAGTTGGCAAATGTCTGCCGTCTTATAGAAGTTCTTTCCGTCCAGTGTTTTGTGTGACTCTATAATAGTCGGCAAATCCATTATCTTCGCCGGTAATACCCAACCATCGAAGCGAACGGTTCCCCGACGTATGTCCGGCTCTATTTGCACGGTTAGCCTCTCCTTCAGATTCATCACACCTTCGGATCAAACCATTCAGTCTTCGACCACAACAACACTCAACACATGTCTGTCTCTCACCTGATTTGACGGCCGCTCGAAGACTGGCGGCGGCCAGAGATGGCAGCCTTAGTATGAACTGTGACTCCAACTCATGAGGTGTGTCCGCCGATGCCGTCAGTCCCGACTCCGACGGCTTGTTGTCCTCCAAAGGCATGTCTTCAGCAGTGGTTTCACTCAAATCACAACAAAACTCAACACTAAATCTCAAAGCATTCAAAACACTGTTCACTTCAATGACTGAATGTTCGCTTCACTGCTCAACATATCTACTGTTGTGTTGTATTCATTGATAAGCAATGCTTTGCAGAGAAGTTCTCATAACTATATAAGGGTTTCGTTTTGAGGTTATTATGGATTGAAATGAATAAAAAGATTATTGAATTGATTTGATGTGAAAATATTTGATTTAATAAATTTATATAAAATACAAATATATAAGACATCAATTGAATTGAATCCAATAAAAGATTCAAATGAATAGAATTTCATCGAAAGATGTGATGGAAGGGAATTGTTTTAACGTGTCTTCGGTTAACACTTCTGTTCCTTCTCTGATGGAAAGGATGGCAACAATTGAGGCCTCTTTGGCCGCAAACGCTTCTGTCATAACGATTGCATTCAAACATTAAAAACACTTTATTTAAAAACAATTGACACAAATATGTGACAAACCTTTAGCCGAATCGGTAATGAAAACAATATCTTCGGGATTCACATCACAAATACTGGCGATTTGTGAATAACTCTTTGACTCTAACTTCGGTCCAATAGTTGTATCAAAAAAGTTGTCAATTAACTAATGTTTTAAACAAAACATTCAAACAATTAATAAAATAATGTATTTATAATTAATAAATACAAACATGTGTTAAATCTCCAAAAACTGAATGCGAGAAAAGAAGTTTCTGCGCCAAAACACTTCCCGAAGAATATATGCATAATTTGAGGCCTAATTCTTGCGTCCATTGATTGATAGCTTTGGGCACATCGTTATAAACGCTGTAATAATAATCACATTTAAATCAAAGTGCAGTTAGAAGTGGAGGAATATATGCCTTACTGTCCTTTAATATGTCCGCATTCGTAGCCAAAGCGCCAAACATTTCCCTGAAATTGCTTTAAAGCCGTAGTCTTGCGATCGGCACTCATTTGCCACAACACGTTATCAATGACTGAACGGATAACGGCTTCACTATTGTCCACATCTTCACTAACAACGGGCACATCAATGGTTCCCATCTCGAGATCAGCCATCGATTGTTTGCGCAACAAATCGATGTCTTCTCGTAAAGACCTCTCATTCCTGAGACAAATAAATCATTTGATGAAACTTTATGTTAGTTTAAGAAGTGATTGAAAAGTAATGACCAGTTTTTACGCAAATAATTGCTTATATTTGCGGTCACATAAGGGAAGAGAAACTCTTTGACAAAAGTGATGGAAGTGGTGGTGCCCTCGATGTCCACTACTATTACCTTTGGTTTTCTTAATTCAATCATTTGTTTTACTAAAAATAATTAATACACTTTTCGCTTCAAATTAAAAGTTATTCATAAAAAAGTTAAAAAATACAAGTTTTTGATAACAACTGTTTGTGTATTGAGTGTAAGTTGTCGTCAAAAGTGAATGCATTAATAGCCTATCAATGAGTCTCTCACGAGTCGTCAGTGAGAGAGACTGTAATCGCGTTATAAAACTCATCACATGTTTTGGGGGACAATATATACAACACATCAACACATTGTCTGTCCCTTTAAATACTTGAATCCGGTTTTAACTGATTATCGCATTTGCCGTACATTTACTACCTTTTCATTCATATCCATATTTTATTTAATTAAACATATAATGTTTTTTAGTGCTAATCACGTCTATAATTGGTATTTATTTTGTTAAAAATATATAATTTATATTTAATTGCAATTAAAATAAGTTTATCTCGAATTTGAAGTCTACTAACAGATTGAATAGTAAATCAAAACTAGTTTATAAACGAGCGCTCATTAAAAGTTTGAAACTTATATCAGGAATAGATTTAAAGCAAAATTAAGAAAATTAATGAGAAATGAAATGAAAATAAGTGTTTGCAGAGAGTTTGCAGTGAAAAAGGGGACCAAAAATTAAAAAAGTATTAAAAGTAGAGGTAATGAAAGGGCGCGCAAACTATAAGGCATTAACTGCTCTACAAATGTGGGCAAACATTAAGCGTTTTATTGGAGAGACATTTAAAAAACTTTTCACTTTTACATCACATGTCTGTTTGACTGTTGGGTCCGTTGTCTGCCATCAAGACTTGCCATTCCCTCCCAAACCACTCGTCTGTCCCACACATCAGTCTAAGACATGATCACATCATTGGCTACCATTAGATCATTGGTCACCACTCTATTGCCCGACGTTTCGCAAGACTCACAACTCGATGAATTGATTGCACAAATCATTCACTTTCAACACAACAGTCACGACACGAGTGCTCACAACGAGCCCGAAGTGGACGCCACTCAACACACCTATGCTATGGAGGCCAGTGTTGTCAGACGTGACCGACACCGACGTAATGAACGGTAAGGCTGTCAATGACATCCCTTTTCTGCACAATTACTCATTGGTTGTCACCTTTCATAGCATTCGTCACAATAAGATCGTTGAACTGATCCGACAGTTAAGTCATATGATTGGTCTGAGCGATAGAAACGAGACGCGGGTATGAATTGATTGATTTCATGACAAGTTTTTGACAAGTTTTGTATTAATTGAATTGCATTTCTTTGTGTGCCATTGAAGACAAACATATTGGACCGATCGGCTCGTTATGTGCTATTCCTGGAGCTTGTGATCGACAAACTGGAAGCGGACGGAACCGATGACACTGCCCTGTCAGACGACTGGGTGAAATCGTTAGAACCGCTGTACTATAAAGCTTGTGGTAAGGTTTGCAATGGTTTGGTATGTTTTGGTTGACATTAATAGTGGCTTTGATTGCAGTGAAGGCCAAGGAATTGTTAGAACAAGTCGGACAACACAGCAGTGAACCGCTTCTCGAGAACAACCTATCGATCAATGTTTGCCATTAAATGGTTTTCAAATTATTTGGTTTTAATTTTACAATGAATTGAATATAATTTTTACTTTATATAAATAAATAATGATTTGATTTTGTTTTGTCTAATAAATAAGTCTTTCATTGAAACGCATGAGAAATGAAATAAATAATCAATAGTTTAAGAATCGGTATTAATTTAAACCATTTTTATAGGAATCGATTAATAAATGTTATATTTTTAAAGTCAATTCAGTGACAGAAAAGTTTTCCGTTGTTTTTATTATAAATAATTTAATTAATTTATTCAAAATATAATTTCTATACAATTAAGACTCGGTTAACAAAAGTTGAATAATCGCTAAAATCATGAGTTAGGGCTGAGGGAGGCGTCGGAAATAAATAACAAACCCTAAGAGTAGAGCCAATGCTGTCATCAAATACAAGTCCCAATCGGGACCCAACATCTTAGGGACACTCAAATTGCTTAATATTTCATTCAAATCGTATTCATTGAGTGATTCAAAGCCGTATACGAGACCGAGTTTGATGCGGGCGAGCGCTACGGGCACCTGAGCGTCGAGACTGGTCTCAGCGGCCAAATCGTAATAGCGTTTTGCCAAATGAATGTCGCGTTTGAGTCCTAACCCCAGTTCATGCATATAACCCAAATTGAAGAGCGCCTGAGCGTTGTGTTGCGATTCACTGGCCATCCGGTACTGCGCGGCAGCCATTTCGTAGTCAACACGAGTGCCGAACCCATAGTAATGATAGTCCCCTAACTTAACTCTGGCCACAGAATATCCCTGCGCTGCAGATCTACTCCAATACATGAGCGCTCGCGTGTGTGTCTCTGATTTGTCAAACAATTCGTTGATCTCATTCCTGTCCAAAATGAAGGCGGCGTTGCTTTGGGCCACTTCGTAGCCGAGTTCGGCCATCAGTGCGTATTTGATGTACGACTGAGCGATTCGGCCCTCTTTATAGTCGGTGTGCGCCTGCATTAGAGTTGTCCCCCAATGGCCTCTTTCGGCCACACTTTTGAACAGTTCAACCGCTGTATTACACGACCGCAGAGTTCCGGTACCGCTGGCGTGCATTTGTGCCAAATTATAAAAGCCTAACACATGTCCCGATTGAGAAGCCATTGTAAAGTACTTGATTGCCGTTCGGAAGTCTTTGGTCACTCCAAAGCCATTCAAATACATGAGCCCTAACTGGAGCTGTCCGTCAACCCATCCCTGAGTGGCCGCCTGTGAGAAGTATTTGAATGCTTTGGCGTAGTCTTTGTCGACGCCTTTGCCGTACAAATACATGAGTCCGAGACCGCTCTGTCCGACAGGGTTTCCCTTTTCGGCCGCCATTTCAAAGTATTTGAGAGCCGTTTCATTGCTTTGGATGACAACATGACTGCCTTCTAAATGCATCTGAAATATTATGACAACCATTATATTTCAATCATACATAACCACTGATTCGTGAATACCTTTCCCAAGAACGCCATAGCGTTAGCATTGCCCGCATCGGCCGCTTGCGTGAAGTATGTGAGGGCTCGGCTGTGGTCCTGATCGACACCTCTGCCGCCCTGATAGTGGAGTTGACCCAACCCTACCTGTGCCTGAATGTCTCCCTTATCGGCCAAAAACTGATAATATTGTATGAGATCGTCGTCCAGAACACCACTAAAAGAACCCGGATTTTCGAGTTCATCCAGAAGTCGGACCCTTTGAATGACTGTTCCGCCCGAAAAGGAAACGTCTTCCTCCACTTTTTTGGCCACTTTTCGGTAGTAATTCAGAGCCGATTCACAGCTCGACATAACAGATATGCCCGACCAGTACCTGAAGGCCAGTGCCATTCGTGCGAACGTATTACCAGAAGTGGCGGCAAATGTGAAATAAATGAGAGCTTTTGATTGACTCGGAGTCACTCCTAAACCCATTGAATGCATTAAACCTAAGAACTGATGACAAGACAATTGTGGATAAATTAGTGACACTTTAACGAGAATAAGAAAACAGTATTTCATTTCTAACCAGTTGTGAGTTTGGATTGCCTTTCAGTGATAGTCGAGTGAAGTAGTCTTTGGCAACACTCAAGTCAAAGGGCAAGAGATCACCGAAGAGGTGTTGTTTGGCCACCCATTCCATAGCCTTATCGTAATCTAGTTTTGCCGACTCTTTCATGAGGTCATAGGCTTTGGATCGATCGGATCGACTCGTGTTGAGTATAGAGACAGCCGTTTCATACAACTGAAGGCCAAATCTCTCCCTTTCGGTCAATTCTCGCTCCACTACTTCGGGCGCCGGCTCTTCGTCCTCATCGCCGGTCACTTCCTCCTCATCCGACAAAATCTCTTCGCTATCTGTCAACGGGTCCCTCGACTTGTCCTCAACAGTGTCCGTGTCTTCGACCGGCGTTTTCTTCACATTATCACCGATAGAGTCATCAGTGGTTTCGATGTCTTTGTCTTTAACTGATTTGTGTTCACTTTTAGTCTGTGTTTTACTTTGACTCTCGTTTTGATCGCTAATCACATTGTCTTTGATTTTGGCGTTAATTAACAAAAAACAACAAAATATTAACAAAACTATTAATAAATTTCTTTTCATTTTATATTTTCGGTCAAAACTTTTGTGTCTTTATATTAATTATCGATAAATATGTCTTCAAATCAAAGCATTTAATCGCAAATCTATTTAAACAACATTTTCTAAATCATTGCTTTAAGACATTTGAGACATTCATTCAACACTTAATCACAATTCAGATTATAATTGATGTTTAAATTGAGTTAAAATAAAAAGTTTTATTTCAAATTAAATCCACAATTAATTGTAATTACAAATCAGTGTTTATTATAAAGGATTTCACTGTTTATAAGACTTACGTTGACTTTCAATACATTGTCATAACAACCGATAATAACGCGACTCTCACTCCATCTCTCACTCAATACAAACACAACACAAATGTTAATTGCAATCAATTATACCATAAATGCATTCAAATTCAATCCTAATTGAGAATTACATTCAAAGTTATTATAATATGTTTTGTAAATCTAATTTTAGTAAATTTACTCATTTCAGTGTTGTTTAATTGTAGACTAAATCTTATTTATAAATTATTTCAATGTTAACTCATTTCTTAAGTTTCAAGTTTCAAAGATTTTCATTGACTATAATTTATAATTACAATAAAATACAAATAGTATATTAATTATGTGTTCAATAATTTATTTTTGATTACAACTCATAAACGCAATCGGATTAAGACTTAACACTCGTTGATATACGGCTTCACTACTACTTCAATATATGGACTAAAGTTTGAATTAAATTCACGAATAACTACATAATCTTCACTAAATAGATACAAATAATTTGAATATTATTTTTACTACAATTTTATTAAAAAGTTTTATACAATTAATTACAAATTACTTATAAATCACTATTTCTTGTCTTCATTCTTGGTTTGATCGATGGGTTCAAAGCCTTCGTTTTCAATCTTATCCTTATATTTAAGATATTCTCGTTTGCGGTCAAAGTGTGTCACCTATTGTTACCACAAAATCAGATAATCAATCATTAGTTGTGTCCATCGATTCACACAATCGGTTCCACTCAAGACATACCCATTGAGGAGGACATTGATCTTCAAACGCTTTCCTGATTTGAAGACATTTTTCGCGATTATCTTCATTGGTGTCCAAACAGTTCCAGAGACCGTCTCTCGCAGTATAGCATTTGGTTCGCTGCTCTTTGTTTGGATAAGACATCACTTCCAGACCATTGATTCAAATGAGACAATCAATGATTCAATGCTTCAAAATCGTTACAAAACAAATCAAATACAAAACACATGTCTTAGTGTTTATTGAAAAAAGGGCTCTAATATATGCATTCAATTGGTATGAGTTATGCCCTTTTGACACAAAAATATAATACAGTTTATTCACTGTATATGTATTAAACATAATTTACTCATTATTTACGCTATAATTGTTTTATTTATAAATAATTGGATGTGACAATGAAGCGCATGTGTGACCATGGCACATTCCCTTGATATAATCACTATTAATTGTTATTTAACTATTAATTAATAATGTGAGACAACTGTATGTTATAACGAGTATTGACTGTATGTTAATCTGTGGAGGAATACGTTTTGTATGAAAGAGTGGTTTGAAAATTAAAGCCAATTAATGGCGACGACTGATGGCAGCGATCATATCATCACAAATGGAGATCCAGTCGAGACAGACGTCCAATCATTGTCTCAAAGACTGTGTACTCATCTGTCAATCGATGGCAAACTGGAGGACGAGATCTCGTTTGTGAACTACGAAAGTGAGAGACAAATGCCAGACATCATGAGACTGATCCAGAAGGACCTGTCGGAGCCCTACTCTATCTACACGTACCGCTACTTCATCCACAACTGGCCGCACCTCTGTTTCCTCGTATGTCCGCTGCCTTACCATCAGGTGATTGAATGTATGACTCAATGATTGTTGAATTGATCCGACAGGCGATGTATGAGAGCCGATGTGTGGGCGCTATTGTCTGCAAACTGGATGTGCATAAGAAAATGGTTGGAAGGGGTTATATAGCGATGTTAGCCGTCGATGAGAAGTATCGCAAGCGTAGGATTGGATCCAATCTTGTGCTCAAAGCCATACAAGCGATGAACGGTTACGCGGATGAGGTCTCACTCACTCATCCACTGCTGTATTCAATCTCATTGTTATATCTCTTCGACCGATAGGTTGTGTTGGAAACAGAGGTCACGAATCTATCGGCGCTTAAATTATACGAAAACCTGGGGTTCGTTAGGGATAAGCGTTTGTTCCGATATTATCTCAATGGCGTCGACGCTCTTCGGCTTAAACTATGGCTTAAATGACATGAACTTCTCATCAAATAATTTATTTAATTAAATAATACATTGAATTCATAGCGAATATGTGGTAAATGAGGATATATTTTATACAATATTAAAAACAAACACTTTTAATATAAAATAATAGAATTCATGCTTTAATTGTTACATTAAAATTTTGGTGCATTTTGTTAAACATTTAAAAGTCATTTTGTTTTTCAGATTAAGACCTTTAAAAATAAATTTATAAAACAAACAAATATTGAAATTTATAATGAGATGCAAAGCCGTAATAATAAGAATAATAGACATGAAAAGTGTGGCTTTATTTGCAATTGTAGGGAATGTCGAGCTTTTGCTTCTTTCGGGCCGACATCTGTTGGAAGAACTCTTTGATGTCTTCTTCGCGAACCGTACGCTTCGATTCGGCAAATGTTCGCAAATACTCTTTCAAAGAGTTCTGCAAATCGTTGTAACCTTTGGTTTCCACAAAATAACAATTAGTTTACAGAAAATGATGTGCAAAATGAGTGCTGAATATACCGCTAATGTATTCAATTTGTTGAATTCTATCCATTTTTCCCAATTCAGACAATCCTTTGTCGTAATCACTTTGCCGTGTATTGGATTGCATGCCTTCCTTCTCGTAGTAGTGAACCATATCCTTCTCGTCGGTTAAAAACATGCATTTCTTATCCGAGTATAGAGTCATACAGTTCTTGCATTTGCAGAGAAGTCGGCGCCATTCCATCGGCCAATACGTGGCCTCCAACTGACCCGTCGGTGGATTCTCAACATTTGATACCGATTTCAAAGCGTTTAGTTTGCATTGAGTCGTCAATTTGCCCGACGAGTCGTTCATCGAATCGCATGAGTTCTCAATACCGCTGTCGACAGCTTGAGAATCGCTGCAAACCATCGACGGCTCACTCATTGCCAACACTTTGGGACTCTCTTTCTGTTCAGCCGACAAGACATCGATGTCTGCATTCGATTCATTCGCTTCTATTTCTAATCAACAAACAAATGGCATTACATTACGAATCAAAACAATTTATTTGTCACAAACTTTGGCCAAATGTCTTGTTGTAGAACCAGAGGAATGGCAATCGAGTGACACACAGATTGCAAATCATTTCCGAAAATTCCACGTTTTCGTCAAAGTTTCCCAAATGCTATTCAATTGAGAAATGCATATAATTGGTGGCAAATAAGCAATCGATGCTTCCATACCCTTCCGTGATACCAGTCCTCACACACCACGCACTGTATCATCTGGTCGTCCACATCATCCTCGGGATCAGGATATGGCCGAAGACACACACAATACTTGCCATCAAAGTTGTGATTGTATTGGTTGTCAACATTTACTCCCGATTTCTAAGACATCAAAAAATCATTTATTAAACAATAAAGAAAACATTGAAATGAATGTCAGATCCGAAAAACTTACTGAATATAATTTGCAATTACTTTCAGCGAACTTATCGTTACCGCAATCGCACCGGAAGTTGCGTTTAGTGTACAGCTCTATGAGGTCGTGGCCGTCGTGACAGCGGTAACTACAGGCCAGACATATGGCCGCCCTCTGCGCCACATCCGCGTCGGCCGCAGTCGTGGCCACCAATTGACACGTATTGCAGGCGTACAGCGCCTGACGGCTCACATAACCCTTCAATCAAAACATATCATCCGTTATATAGTGTTTGCCGAAGAAGTGAATCACACCTTAAGGTAAGTGCAGTTCTTGTCGTCACTGCCGCCGAGCACTGCGAACGCGTCCGCCTCTAAGTCCTGTTCCTCTTGAAGCACATCCAACATCGTTATGGTCTCGCAGTCCACAGTCTCCACATCGGGTCCCAAGTCTTCAATGCCTTCAATGCCTTCAATGCGTTCATTGTCTCCCATTTTGGCGCTAAATCTCATTGATTCACAAAAACACAAACAATGAGTGAATCACTGCTACAAACACTCAATGCCTCACCTCTTGTACTGTTGGCCACTCTATTGTCTAATGTGTTCACTCTATTCACTGTTAGCTAATTGTTTGTACACTTAATCACCGATTAATGCAGTCTTGAGAACACCAGAAGTGCGGCACAATTGGAGTCAATGTGTGATCACGTGATGTGCTGTCAATGCCTTCACAATAGACAGCGAACAGACATTCTATGACGTCATTCAGTCATTCACTCATTCAGTCATTCAAAGCGTTCAAAAGTGAATCTTTCGAACGCTTAGCGCCAATGGAATGAACTCTTCGTCAGAGTTTGTAATTCGTGTGAATGAAAGTTGTGTTGACTTAAGGTATGAATGAATGAATGAATGAGTGGTGAGAATGCGTTGAATGCGTTGAAAGAGTAATAGTTGTGTAGTATTTGAGGCAAACATATAGTGATTGAAAGCAATGGTAAGACAAAAGCAACCGACGGCTCGGAAGAGCACTTCCGGAGTGTCGAAGAACGCCAACTATAGGACAAACACCACTCGCGAGCCATCCTTTGTGATCGTGTCGTCTCCCGAACCGAGCGCTCAGTTGTCGGACACGAGTCCACACTCTGAGAGAGACAACAGAGACAACACTCCCAACACTTCCAACACAGCCGGCAGTCAGTCGTCGGGTTTCGCGTTCGCTTCGGCCAACCGTTTGGCCCGTATTTTGGAGACCAAACGTCGCGGACAGTCGTCTTCCGGCGACCCGAAGGTCGCGACCGGACGTAAGCGTACGGGCGGTGAGAATCAGATAAAGCAGAAGAAGTATCGCCACAGACCCGGAACTATTGCCCTCAAAGAGATCCGACGCTTCCAGAGGACGACCGAACTGTTGATTCCTCGGCTCCCGTTTCAGCGATTGGTCCGCGAAATCGCCGCCGAATTCAAACACGAGCTTCTGTTCCAATCGGCGGCCATTTCGGCGCTTCACGAGTCGGCCGAAGCATATCTCGTCGGACTCTTCGAAGACGCGAATCTCTGTGCCATTCACTCCCGAAGAGTGACTGTTATGCCCAGAGATATACAGCTCTCACGCCGTATACGCGGCGAACGCAACTGAACACAAGCGACACAATCAACACTACTTCCAATCCGACATCACTTCTGGTCATCTCTTTATCTCATTATTATCTCAATTTGTTTATAATTATTACTCTTTTCACACATTTGTACAAAATTTATGTCACATTTATTCACAAAAATAGTATTTTATTCTCAATTGTTTTCATTTCAAAGTTTAATACTTTTATTAATGTTTTATAATTAACAGTAAACACTTGTTTTATTCGTTCATTAGTTACTGTTAACTGTTTTCATATCTAAGTTCTAAATAAATGTTAAGTCAATAATAATTGCAATTTTCAACTCAATTGTAGTTAAAAACGTAATCAATTAATTGTTTTGACGGAATGCTTATAATTGTTAAGTTATCAAAACTCTAATATAAGTCAACAATCAATTGGTTTATTAATTTCAAAAGTATTTATTTAAAACATGATAATAAATGCAAAAACTCATAAAATTGAAAAATATTTTCTATTAGAAAATGACAATTACATTGAATTCAATGGTTTTAAACCTAATAATTTCATGCCTTCATTGAGTACATTACGGCCACATCTGAATAATAGTAATCTAGTCTTCGCCACATCGGACTCCTCTCCCTTCACTCGTTGTGTTAAAAAAGCTCTGTTTATCGCATTTCTAATTAAAAAATGGATTACATTTTACCATCAATTTTATGACAACAATATTTGCCTCAAATCAAACAAATAGCGGACGAGAAGACTTGGTTCCAGTGATTCAAACGAATCGATTAAAATCTCGTCGAATTGTGACAATCGATTCATAAGAAGTTTGGCCTCAAAATCAGATAAAGCCTCCACTTTTGGCTCAAACTCGTAGTCTATGTCTACACCGCAGTTGGTCTCCAAACTATTAATTGTGTTATGAATACAATTATAATAGACATTCAAATGATTGTATGAATGAATGCAGACCTGCAAAGCCTGGCGTGAGTGTACTGAAGAGCAATACCAGTTTCACCGCTATGTCTGATGGCTTTCTCCCAATTGAACCGATATTCCTGTACTCTTCGATGAGACAAGTCGTGTATTAATAGACCAGAAATACCCAAAATATCGGAAACACTTTCAAAGTTTTCTTCACTTATTTTAGTGTCTAATTTAGAGTCAATAGAGAATAAGTACAACAATTTTCATTTAGAGGAGTACTCACTCGGACTAGTCTTACAGGACTCGATGGCCCTCTCTTTGGCCTCATTGAGCACATCCTCCAGAAAAACTATGTCTCCCTTTCGAGTACTCATTCCGAGAATACGACCGAATTTCAAATGAGTTAATTTACTGTCATTTTCAATAAATTAGTTTATAATACAATTGAATGCATTGTTAATACCCTTCGATGTCATCATTAAGTTTTGGCAAAATATTGAATAAATGATTGAAATGTTTTGCTTGACTGCTGTCCACAACATAAAACATTTTATGAAAATCAAACAATTGTTTTCTATGAATAGCGGCCGCAATGTCTCTACACATCGAATGCGATAATTATTAAAATTAAAATAAGCGACAAATGAATGGATTGAATGCCAAACCGCGTCAGATATAGTGTCGATCCGTCGCTCTTAATGACCGGTATTTTAAGGGACACTTTGTTCGGCCCATTGGTGCCGACGACCGCAAACTCAGCCCTACTGTCATCGCCAGCGCTCTCTAAATGTCCCAATTGTCTCAACCTATCGATCACTTCATGTCCGGCCGACGAATACATGGATTCGCTGTGAAACTCGTCAAAATCGATACCAATTCGTTGATATAAATGCTTGAGTCGATCGACACTAAGTTCTCGAAAGCGATTCCATTGATTCAAGACATCGGCGTTTTGTTTGGTCTCGAGAGCGTTGAACCGGTCTTTCGCCGATTGACGCCATTCTTCACTGGCCTTACATTCAGTGCTTCCCTTCACGTATACATCAAACAAATGTCGCAACGGATTGGCCGCCAAACTCTGGTCGTCGCCGAAGCGGTCGAAAGCGAGGCTTAAAATACCGAATTGAGTGCCAAAGTCTCCCAAATAGTTGAGTGCTATAACTCTGTGACCACAGAATCGGTGAAAATTAGCCACAAAATGGCCGATAATAGTGGACCTATAGTTCCCGACGTGAAACGGTTTCGCTATATTTGGCGACGAGTACTCCACGACCACCGGTCCGTCGCTCTCCCCATCACTTGAACAGCAAAGCCGTGTATTTGTTCCATACGTTTGCCATAAGTTATCCACTTTTAAATCATTTATTAATTGCTATTTAATTGAGAAATCAATCACTCTTTGGATGACATGAGTGAAGAGGTTTCAAAAAAGTGATGCAAACCTTCACATAGAAGTGGTCTTCGATGTCAAACACTATCCTCTGTTGTGGTGTTTGTGTCTCATCTGTGGCTGAATTGGTCTCCAAATGGATTTGTTTGATAAACGAAAGCTTTTTATTGCAATTAAATGTGAGTTAATTTGTTTGAAAAGTTTGAAACAATTGGCAAAAGAACTCACTTTTGACAATAAATTGATGACATTTTGCGGTGAAATAGTGTCTGAAGTATGACTTGTCGTCAAGTGATTGAAGTGAATGTAAAACTGACGGCAATTACACTCTTTGTCCCTAACTTTCAATACATTCACACATTTAGGGCTCAAATCGCGTTTCAAATGATGTCTCAAATGATCGCTAATTAAATGTTTTATTTTCAAAACCATTTTCACTCTCTTTTCACGCATTCATTGCAACTTAAGCCTCGTTTGAGTCTAACGTAAAACTCAATACTTTGTTAAAAATTAGAAAACAATTGAATGAATAATTGAATGAATTGTTGAGAAACATGTGATTTGTTGACAGAATTGAAAGTTAATGTTTTGATCGCAAAAATGATGCAAACCTTCGTTGAGAGACATCTATTGACTATAGAATTGGTAAATGTGTTAACCATTCACTTGAGAATTAGTATTCATATAAAAATGCATTCCTTAATCATTTAGTATCCAAAGCTGTGTGAGAGGGCCCTCTCAGAGGGGGTGTGGGGTGTGTGGGCACAGCCAATACTTGAGCACAAATTATATTTCTGGTGTAAATCTAAATGCTATAACTTTTTAACACATCACGAATATTGACCAGGAAACAATTATTATTGGTTCTAATATAATAAACCAAGTGAGTAAAAACTACATTCCAAAGTAGGAATTTATAAGTAAATGTCAATATTTCTAATGAATTGTATCGGAAAACTAAGATATGACAATGTTGTAAGAGCAAACCCCGAAAATGATGATAAGGTTATGACCACATACTCACATATTTTGCATTTATTATAATATTCGTGATTATTATTAATAATTTATTACCAAATATAAGCAATGCTTTAAACATGACATATGATTGCAAACACTTTTACGAGTGATTCAGTATTTATTTCACATCAAATCTTGAACAGAGAAACACGAGTTTACAAATGATTATGTATTTTAAACAATTTATATTAAAAGTGCGAATATTATAGAGAAGTAGAAATGCAAACAATAATATTAATTAAAGTACAATAATTGATACACACATGAGATTACATATAATATAAATACATTAATTACACAAATATAGGTTATATTAAATAAATGTATGTAAATTAGGGGACAATTACATTGATTGAGGGAATGGGAGATAAAGTATGCGAATTAATACCATATCATTGATACGATATAAGAGGCGATTTGGGACACAATCACGAGGAAAGTGTCCAAAACCAATACAAGAACGTCAATCGCTTGCAAGCGATTCACACCCAATGTCTGAGACAAAGGGTTAACCGATCACTAAAGTGACCCTTTGTTGCACTCATTGGCCAACAGTTTGGCCGCATTGACCGCACGGAAGGCGGCCATCGGGTCATCCGATCCAATAATCAATTGATATTCCTCCGAAGTGAAGGCAAACGCCGATTGACACCATTGTCTCATTGGATGTACCTTTAATTCCAAAAAATGTAACTCTTGTCTGAGTTTTTTGTTTTGCTCTTCGAGTTGTGGTTCTCTGAAAAGATGTGCAAAACATAAATGAGTTGTGATATAAATGCGATGCAAAGACCCGAAGCCCTCGTATGACTCGCTTTTCCATTCCATTCCATCCTTTCATTCATACTTACGAGTCGTTCAATACTACCGACACATCCTTTGGTCCCTTATATAAGCTTTTATACAAATAATACCTGATATGAGATGAATGGGCAAAGAGTGTGACCATTGGTTCACTTGCGCTCAAACTCTAACAAACAATACTTAAATGTTTAATACTTTTAGATTCAATGAACGATAGGGTTGTGTAAAGCGGGCATTGAATGCATACTAATGTGTAAATCATTAAAAACACTCAAAATGTACTCAATTTGAAGGAAACCCTTGAGAAGAGGTGTTTGGGGTTGAGATGAAAGGACAGGAAGTGATGGAAAAGCGGGTCAACACGAGCTCACAATTGGATGATAGCGTCGATCAAAGCTTTCTTCAATTGTCGACTCTTTTTCGCCGCCACTTTATTCCCACTTCTTTTCCTCTTAATCTTCTCTTCTGGCGGCAAATCAAGTGTTGGTCGACCTCTTCGGCGCTTCGGCACTACTATTGGCCGCGCAATCACTGGTTCCGCAGCGACGCCTCCATCGGCCTCATGAGTGGGATTGCGGTCCACCTGAAGGACAGTTGGGTTGGCATTCGGGACAATGGCTTCGCTTTCACTCACCTCTTGTTGAGCATCGCATGGATTCAAATCAGCTCTGATGTGATTGACTGTAAGCCAAAAACGTTTGCCATCGACTTCGCGGTCGTTGTCGTCGTTGTGGTGCGAGTTATGGGTCACGTCTTGTGGCTGTAATGGCGTCGGAAAGTCCACTGCATTTGGATTCCACAACACGTCTGAAATAATGGGATAATTGTCCTCCAAATCCATGTCCACATCGAGTGGACACTCATTCCTCTTCGACGCTGACATCGCTTCCAATGATTATTAATATTAGTATTGAAACGAAAGCACAACTCTTTCACTGATATAATGGCTAACAAAGAGTGGATTTGTGTTTCAAACGTAGTGAAAACGTATCGTATATTTGGGTCAATACAATGGCAATGAAAGGTCTGAAAGCTTTCGCATAACTGTTAAGTATTGAATGTGTGGACACAACTCGTATCGCTCTCTCTGTCAGACCTAAAAAAGAAAAACTCAGCCTTTGATTGGTTACGCAATGCATACTCTCTATCTCTCTCTGAAGCTGACTCATGATTAGAGTTGAGAATAAAGCATGATTCGTACTCTTCACAAATAACATGCTACTTATTCTCACATTCAACACTGCCAACTTAGGAATGTACACTGTTCAATACAGAATATACGGTATTGTGTAATGGACCATCATGAATTGTCGAATGAACATACGAATAGATTAAAGAATGATTGTTTGCTCATTTGGTTCGTTAGGTTTTTGACCAAAGCGTAATACACGTCTACTATTACCTATTGTGTACATTCTGTATAGACTTTAAGCACATTTTTATATTATAAAGTACTAACGAATATAAAGATTACACTATTACTAAAAAGATTCTTACTGTAAGAATATACATGTAGTATCGACATCAAAAAGAATAGACTACGTATTTCGAGCATGTTTAATCTGTTCAAGTTTTAATTCAAGATTTGATTTATAAATGTTTAAAATAACTTTAATTTGAAATAAAAACAAATGCAAAATTAGAGTTGAAATATAATTGATAATTAAAACATGAAAAATGCACTTTATTTGAGTGCGAGAATTGAATGCAAATGAATGTCATTATTAGGTTGGGTTACTCTCTGAGAGTTAGGATAAAGAATACAACATATTTGAAGATTTTGTTCATAAATATTAGTAATTAGAGGCAATCCTTATTCCAACACTCAATTCGTTAGTAGTTTTAATTGTCAATTCAATTATAAGAATATATATATACCGTATATATAAAAGTGGTCTAATTATGCCATCAATTGTGAACAAACTATGGCATAATGTTCTAACGTAAGACATATTTATCGGTTCAATGATATAACACATTATATATTCCTTTGGATCTTTATTAATTACTTTTTAACACTAGATTAACATTTAAATTGAAATATTTTTATACAACAAACGAATATTTAAAATCATTAATAAGGTATAAATAAATTTTTATGTATATCTAAATAAATACAATATTCGCACAAAAAGTACTTATAATTAAACTCTTGATTTACAAAATAATAAAATATAATAAAATCGAAATTAATTTTATAAATTTGAATAATTCTGTGTATTTGAATGTAAGGGATTTGAAAAACAAACGCAAAATTAAATATAAACTTAAATTTAGATTTTCAAAATCCGATTATTCAATATCGGTTTAATTTAGTCTACGAAGTGAGGAATGTATCACATAATAGGGTCAATACATGTCTGCATTGCGAGCAAAGGCTCATCAATCAGACAAAACAATATTAGGCTTAAAACAAATGTAATTACGGTAAACATAACTACAGACATAACAATATAGTTGTGGGGTTGGGAGGAGTGGCCGTAGGGGAGGAGAGGGTGGAGAGAGAAGGGACTGGTATTAGAAGATGGGAATGTAATTATCGATCTTTGCCTTATGTTTTTGAGCGACACATTCACTGATCCAAACAATATTACGACATTCCTGTTCCTTAAGCTTGAGGTATGAGTAGAAGACCCCGAAGTGGAACTGTTGCATAAATGCGTTCACATTGAGACTCACTTCGTGCTCAAAAAACTTGTCCTCCAGTGTCTTGTCTTCCTGTCCGCCGCCGGCAGAGCCCTGGCCTTCAAACAGCACTTTGTATTCGCCGTAATACTCGGCAACAGAGCGGACCTGTTCGTAGTCGTCGGCGCGCGCCAGAGCTGCCAATCCATCGGGAAATAGTTTACCACAAGTGGGGTATAGCTTAGCCCTGTCTTCTTTGGACAGTTCCGTCCCAAACGAGTTGATAGTGATTATGAACGCACGTCTGTCCGCTTCAAACGCTATACAATACAGACATTCAATCGTTATTTGACACCACATTTCAGTATCGTTTCAAAGTCGGTCTCAACAGTCATACCATACCTAATATCTCGCACATCACTTCTGCGGTAATGCCTCCGATCTGTTCGCTGCAGAACTTGTGAAAGGACTCCAAATAAGCCTTATATAGAGTGTTACGAATGATCTCAACATTCATTTCGTCCAAATCCTGTTCACCGATGCAGTCGACGAAGAAGGGCGCCAGAGGTGTGTCCACCAGAACAGCGTTGTACAGATCGGCCGGAGTGGCCGCCACGTGAAT